ATGATGAACGTAAACAAAGGTTGACGATACTGATACTACAATAAAGACGCGTATGGCATTTTCAGAAGTTTAATGAGAAGAAAAGAAAATAGACCAATAGAAGATCTAATCAATGTTTGCATAAATAAACCGAGATTAATTTCGAAAATTTCCCCACATGCTAACGAATTTTCAAAAATTTCCCCCGACGGCCGTCGGCGCACACGGGTAGATTCTGCACGGCTGTTGTATGTAGTCATTTAGTTTTTATTTTCAAGTTGAACGCTAATAATTGCAATTATATTGTAGGAACGACAATTTTTGAACTGCACTAATTATATATTTACAGCTGTTTTTACTATTGAAATGATGATTAAAGTAATCGCAAGTGGATTTATTTTTGGACCTAACACATATTTACATACCGGCTGGAATGTTATGGATGGATTTCTTGTCATTATTTCAGTTGTTGATCTTGGTACAATGGATTGAGGCAGAATTATGTCACCAACAGAGTCAGATACAACATCACATATTCTGAGTATGTTAAGAGTATTTCGTTTATTACGAACATTATGACCACTCACAGGTTGGAAAAGATTTTTTTTCTTTTGATTGATTTTCCCATTATATCGTTTTAGTTATCAATCGAACATCCGGTCTTAAACTTGTCGTTCAAGCTTTACTTTCATCATTGAGACCAATTGGTCATATTGTTATTAATTGTTGTATATTCTTTATTATCTTTGGTAATGTTGGTCTTCAGGTAAAAGGGAGAAATACAGCTGGACATAAAAATGATTTTTCATTCCTATGGATAAAGTTCGATACTCATCTGTACTATAATAGAAATCTAAGGAAAAGTTTTACTGTACTCTTTTTTCACGAGTTTTTAAGTTTCACTTAAGAATATAATGAAAAATTCTTGTTTTCTGAGAAATGGCTGCTATTTAAAATTTAGGAATCAAAGTTTTTTCAAATATTGTGTATTTGTTTGAATGATCTTCCGCGTACGTTTTATATTCCAGAGATAGATGAAACAAAAATCAAAGAGTGTTGTTCATATCTTCTTTTTGAGCTCTCAAGCTAAACAACATGAAGTTTTTATTATTTCTTCCTGTAAAAATAACTCCATGTGGTAGAAATCTGCAAGGGTACTGTCTTATATCACACAGCCTTGGAGCGGGACAGAACTAGGTCTGATGAATGGGGTCTTACCGAAAATCTTTAGAAATAAATGAGTCATGAAAGCGGAACCCGGTGGTGATTTATACTCAGTTTGTTCGAAAACTGGAAAAGCTTGTTGTCGAATTCCTACTTAAAGATCTCACAATATTTTGAGTTTACCGACCAGAATAGCCGACGTATTTCTCAAATTTGATATCAGAAATCTTTGATTTTTGACAAGACGCAGCATCATTTTTTTCATGCATTTTCACAAATTCTTCGATCTCATTATTTACTTTAAATTTTTTTTCAGCTCTTCAAAGGTAAATTCTACTATTGCCAAGGTCCTCTCGCTCGTGATGTAATAACAAGATAACAATGTGAAGCTACGCCCGATCATCGATGGCAAAATCAACAATACAATTTTGATAATTTGGGTCAAGTATGTTATCAAATATACTTTTGTCAGTGGGGTAATTTTTAAAAAATTGTCTTTTATTTAGGCTCTACTGACACTATTTGTTCTTTCATCAAAAGATGGTTGGGTACAAATAATGTATAATGCAATTGATGCAGTTGATGTTGAAATGCAACCAATAAGGAATTATAGTGAAGCAAAATCAATTTATTTCATATCCTTTATTTCAATTGTCAGTTTCTTCGTTCTTAATATGTTCGTTGGTATTGTTGTTAAAAATTTTCGTAGTTGTCAAGCCCAACAAGAACTTGAAGAAGAAGCTCGAAAAAAAGCAAAACGTGGCAAAAAAATTGAACGTAAACAACGTCTTATGCGTGAATTCCCATATTATGCACATTTTTCACTATGGCGTAAACGTTTACATGATCTATGCATTAGTAAATATTTTGATTTAATTATTGTTACTATTATTGTTTTTAATGTTGTTACAATGTCCGTTGAATATTATTCTATGCCATCTGTAAAGAAAAACAAAACTGATTCATTAATTGTTTATATTATCAAAACATTTCGTTTCTAGGACTTGGATAAGTTTCTTGAATATTGTAACTATGTATTTACGGTTGTATTCTTACTTGAGTTTATATGTAAAATTGTTGCCCTTGGACCATCATGTTATTTTAAAGACAAGTAAGGAAAAAATTATTTTGAGATTTTTTTTTTATTTGATTTTTGTTTTAAGATGGAATCAGTTGGATTCATTTATTGTACTTTTATCAATAGCTAGTATTGTAATAGAAAAAATGGTAAGTGGACATATTTTTCCAATACATCCTACACTTATTCGTGTGGTCAGAATATTGAGAATTGCACGAGATAAATGAAAAAAGTAAATCGAATAAAAGATTTTTTCGCGTCTATTTCAGTACTCAAACTACTGAAAATGGCCAAAGGTGTTCGAGCTCTATTTTATACTGTTATTCAAGCTCTTCCACAAGTTAAAAATTTAGTAAATCGAATTATTTGTTTGTTTTTTATTTTTTCTTATTTTTTGAAATTAGAGTCTTCTATTCTTTCTTCTTTTCTTATCTTTGGTACACTTGGTGTTGAATTATTTGGAAAATTAGAATGTAGTGAAGAACAACCATGTAGTGGTCTCAATAAACATGCACATTTTTAAAATTTTTGCATAGCCCTTCTTACATTATTTCGTGTTGCAACAGGTGATAATTGGAATGGTATCATGAAAGTAAGTGATTGAAAAAAAGAACGATTAGTTCTTTTTTTAATCGTAAATATTGTTTTAAAGGATACTTTACGTCAAAATGATTCATCTCATGTTGACAAAAATCGCTTTATGAAAATAATTTCACCCATTTATTTTGTTGTTTTTGTTCTTATGGCTCAATTTGTACTTATCAATATTGTTGTTGCTGTACTCATGAAAAAGCTTGAAGTAACTAGTAAATACCAAGGTAGAATGGTTCGATTATTTGTTTTTTTTTTTTTTAATAGGATTCAAATAAGATGATAGCTGATGATACTGAAATGAACGAAGAAATTGAACAAGCATAACTCTAGACGTGAATGCACTGGACGTGAAAGAAAAAGTCACATTTATAAAGTTACAAAGAATATTTAAAAAAAGGAAGTTTAATATTCTTGACTGATAAGTTCACAATGAATTTTAAAAAAATTCTTCAAAAACAGTGCTTATATATACAGAACTGGACAAATGACTCTAATTAGGAATCTAAAAGATATATTTTTGTTGCTTCTCATTCGAATCCTTCTGTTCATAGAAGTTTGTTCATATATAGATTTAGAGCTCCTTAAAAGAGTGTGGGTGTCAAGCAAAACCATGATGGTTATATCGATGCTGGTCTCATTGGCTTTGCTTGCTGTTGTAGTGCATGTAACAACTTACTCACGGTTTTTCTATATTATTGTTTAGTGGAAGGTTTGTGGTGTCATTGTGGAACTCACATATATTTTCGAAGAAAATAGTGAGTGTAAGTTTTAAGTCGAAGTTTTGTGACTCCCCTCTCCGTCTTCATTATAGACTTTAGAAATTGAGAATAGCAGATGTAAGACTTTCTCGAGTTTGTTGCAAAATTGAACAAGTTGTAATTTTGAAAAATAATGAATATCATTGTTAGTGAGCTGACTAATATATATATAATAATGCGCAAGATCTGCGGTAGATATCATGGATATGTAAAACAAACTTATTTGCCAATTAATTCAATGATTATCATAACAAGAATGTTAAACTAAGAAAAATATAATTAAACACAAATTCTGTTCGATTATCCTAAATATAATATTGGGTGACATATTCTCTTCTAAGAATAGTAATATAAATATAGGAAACTAATGTACAGTTTTTCGAAATCGATCACCAAGATTTTTAGTTGAAAAAACAAAAACATTATATTTGACAGATACACATATCAAGTTGATTATACAAAAAAATGGATACTGTTGATAAAATGTAAAATTTTTCGTTCTATAAAGTGAGTATTTTTTCCATAGATACGTGGTGTATTTGTGCACTTTATTTTATCTTGAATCATTTGTTGGAAAAAACCAAAACATTTTGCTGATCGATTTCGAAAAACTGAACATTATTTTCCTATATTTATATTACTGTTTTTACAAGAGAAGATGTCACCCGATATTGTATTATTTAGAACATTGACACGAGTACTCAAGCCTCATATATATACATTCTTCCGTCGAGATTCAGAACTTATGAAACACTCGGTAAAGGTAGATTCTACTGAAAAATCAAACAATGTTGCTCGTTCACCATTTCAACTTAAAGAATGAATCGTTCTTCATTGCTTCATTCATTGAGCAGTGCCGATTTGCAATTGACGCAAATAACAAAGGTTAACTAATACTCATGCTTTATTTGCGTCGTTTTCGCTCAAACAAAATATGTTTGTACACGGTATCTTTAAGTAGCTTCTCTCACTAGAGTAGTAAAAATTATCAAAGCAATCGACGAATGGCGCACTCTCTCTACTGTCAACAATGATTTTATTTTCTTACTTACAAAAAAAACATTTCACGAAATCAATTCTCAGATGAAATGAAGCTGTTATGGTGTTGTTGTACAGAATAACAAATAAGAATGCTAATGAAAGGTATTCTAACGAAACTATCGTACTCCCAATATCGGAGTAGCGGTATTATCGAAATATGATTAGAGAGAGCAAAATAAAAGTAGAAAGTTGCTAATCGTCATTTTTTGTCTTGAAAAAAAAAAAACAATAAATTGTGTTTGAATAATTCACATGTTTCGAACAGCTGTCAAACATTTCATGCCATATGTATAAGCCTTTTATGATTTAAAATGAGGGTACCTAGTAAGAGAATATATTCCCTCAATTACTCTCCATTCGCTACCTATCGTCTTTTTTCTGATGATGAGTCACTTTTAGTGTGTAAAATAACAAAGAACAAACAAAGCAGAAGAAGAAGAGCGAAAGAGACTAAAAGAAATGGAATTGAAGGCTCTATTAGATAATTATGAAACATGTAATATAATGGTTTTTATGATCAAGCTCACAGATAAATAGTAAATTGATTGATAATAATCACTTTGATATCATACCACTTAAGTGTCATATATTCAGAACTACTTTATATGACATCACTTTTCCACGACATTCATTTATTAATGACAAAGTCCAGTCAAAGTCCAATAATGACAAATATGTGGTTTCGGCCTTGATTTTGTGAAAAAAAATAACTCAAAGTGGAAATGACATCATTAGGAGCCCAAGACAAAGTGTTATCGAGTTGCGTCTCTTTTAATGAATACATCCACACCCACCCACACCTTATAATTTTCATGAAAAAGGATGCAAAATTTCAAACTCTAGAGAATGCTTAATATTGTAGGGTCTGAGTAATGTTTCTCATCAAACAATGGAATCGAACTATTTTCTTTGACGTATGAAAAAAATCGAAATTTATAATTTATTATATAACTAAAAAAAAATGTCATTCTTTTTAATAAAGTGTTCAGCAAAGCACATTTTTGTTGCACACAGTACTTTTAAAGCTACAGCAAACAGCAAATGTTCATTTGAAAGATAATATATCAAGAAAATTTGAAAAAAAATTTGTCTTGTGACATCAGAATGAAAGTTTCTGATTTAGTCTAAGTTAAAAAAACGGGTTATAAAAAACCGGTAATCTTTATCTGACTCACTTGTGACTTAAAGTTGCATATCATACCATAAAAATTACCTGGACTATGTTTATGATGCATGGCTATAAAACAGAATAATATGTATGAATGTTTTTATCTTCAGGAGCTCGAGTTTTATTTACTCTTTTGCTGTATAAAATACTACTGCAACAGGTGCAGAATATTCATTCTTATTCTAATAAGACAGTGACCTTCATTGTTGATCAATTCGAGCAATAAGTTTTATCAATTGAGCAAGACACATCTGCATACTGGAAAAATGAGGCGAAATTCTTATCAAATAAAAAGCGCAAGTGGTAAACGACAATCAAATGTCCTGCCTGTTTTCGCCGTTGCACAACAACAGAATGGTCGTCGCATGAGTATGTTCATCAATGCTCAACGTCGATTATCTCTCATGTCGCAGATATCTGTGCCACACAATGTTGAATATCGTCCACAACAACGGTTACCACCGAATGGTCTCGAATACCAGCAAAACATTCTGCTGGCGAACATAACAACAACAATCAAAGATAATCCAAAAAAGTTTCATGTTAAGTCAACTAAAAAAGCAAATCCATCCCAAAATCGACCCTTATCTCATCGATGTGGTGCTATNATCTTGAGTAATGTAAAATAACTAGTATAACGATTAATTTCTATCATAAATCACTACAATCAATGGTAGTTTTTCGTCGTTTTGCAGAATCGTATAAACAATGTTATGATGAGCTGTATTTGATTCCTATTTTGAGTTATACATACATCTCTCTTTTGCGATCGACAAACTGGAATTATATGCTTCCATTAGGCTTTCTAGATTATTAACTAATATTCATTTCAAAATATAAGAGCCGTGGCCATTTTTTGAATAACTTTTGATAGGAACAAGGTAGAGAGATGCGGTTTTCGCCATTAGAAAGAGAAGACTCAGGCGCATCAATACATGCTAAAATATGATTGGTTAGTAATGGACCAATCAGATGCATTCTCGATAGACATTTTGAGCACTCTTCTCTGGAGCCATTTCTCAACATAACTGAATTTGTTAATTCAGTTATTGGTAGGGAAAATTGTTTTCTTTCGATCTACGCAAGGCCGACCTTCCTAGCTTGTTCTGTTCAAGAGTTATAAGGGTTTTCCTGAGACCTCTGATTTCAGCCAATTGACCTTGGATCAACCAGAAAATCATCTGGAATGGGGTAATTCATCATTCTGAGTCGAATGGTGATATTTGTTTTTCGATTCGAAACCATCTCACGGTGTTATCTCAATATTTCCGAAATGTGGACTCATGTGATACATAGCGGTAGATATTGTGAAATGTAGAAAATTTTTAAAAAACAGTGTAAGATGGTTTCGAATCGAAAAACAAATATCATCATTCGACTCAGAATGATGAATTACCCCTTTCCAGATGATTTTCTGGTTGATCCAAGGTCAATTGGCTGAAATCAGGGGTCTCAGGAAAACCCTTATAACTCTTGAACAGAACAAGCTAGGAAGGTCGGCCTTGCGTAGGTCGAAAGAGAACAATTTTCCCTACCAATAACTGAATTAACAAATTCAGTTAAGTTGAGAAATGGCTCCAGAGCAGGGTGCTCAAAATGTCTATCGAGAATGCATCTGATTGGTCCATTACTAACCAATCATATTTTAGCATGTATTGATGCGCCTGAGTCTTCTCTTTCTAATGGCGAAAACCGCATCTCTCTATCTTGTTCCTATCAAAAGTTATTCAAAAAATGGCCACGGCTCTTATATTTTGAAATGGATATTAGTTGAAGTAACAAAATAAATGACTTCCAACGCTTGTTCGATGCATTGTACATTTAATTGGAAAATTTTAGACACTTGAATAAAAAGATCAAGAGTTATTACTTTAGTCACATCTTGTGCATTGTAACATGATATCTGAATATCTTTATAAAATGGAAGCAAAACGTTTAACAAGAAAAGTGTTCGTTTACATAATCTTTCATATAAATTAACCGTTATAAGTAAAATCAATTAATTCTACTATTAAGGTCATTTATACCTGTCCTTGACATATTGACATTATTTCTGTCATTGGGCCGAACAGAGCATTTAATTTCTTTTACACAATGATGTTCTTTGCAACCATCCAACTCGAAAGTCTAAGACTATTCAGATGATATATTTGGTACAATGCATCCTGTACAAGTACAGTAATGAATTTATGCTATGAACGAGTAGTCTGTCTCACACGGTAAGAAAAATCGTCCAGATTGTCTTAGATTTTCATACTGCTCAGTGAATTGTTGTGCAAAAAATCGAATGCTCTATTTAGCTAAATGACTGAAATAATATCAATATGTTACGGACAGGCATAAATGAACTTAATAGTATAATTAATTAATTTTACTTATAATAGGAAGCATTGCTTTTAACATCATTTCTCTTCAAATGTACTCTCTACATTCAAGAAAGATCGATATACTCTCCTCTTCTCATTAATTCGACGCTAAGGAGCAACTAAGCAATGCTTAAGTATAAATTAAAGGTTTTGATTAGCTTTTATATCATGGGTTAGTAGTATTTTGAGTTTTATACTTTAAAATGTTAGAAATGAATAAGATGCATGAGTCAATGTAAACACAATTAATTCTATTATTTCCGTTGAAATGTCTTTCGACTATATTTTTATAAAATTCTATGTTAAAAGGTATGTTTCTTTCTCAATGAATGATAAAACTGCATTAGAATGTTACTCAATTGTTGAGAAATAGTTTATCGAGATTATTTCGACTCTTCAAATCTCCTCACAACATTTTCCATTCATTATATACCTTGACTTTGGGCAGCATCCTTGAGTGATTGTTGCAGGATGCGTGTTCTTGAAGGATTTGCAAGCTGATCTAATAATGTTTCAATAGATACACTTTTATGTTTTTCCTTATATTCACGAGCCACTTTCTGTCCATCGTCACTGACTATTTTCATCTTCACAACCACCATTTGATCTTGACCGACGTGTAAAATTCGGAAGGCAGTAGATACATCGAATATAATAATTGGCGACGAGACATTTTTAGACAATTCAAAATATGGAGTCATCGAATCACAATCAATTTTAAATAAAACTGGTATGAGATCAGGACGGTATGCTGGTGATGAAGCAGCTGCCAAGGCCATCGTTCTCGATTTAGTACAAACTAAAAACCAACTGGTACATATGAGGCCACCAATACTTTTGACGAATTTCTCGACAAGTTCTCTAGGTAATTTCATGCCTCGATAGAATTGTGCACTTGAATGGTGTTTCGATTGTTGTTGTAAAAAGTGTGATGCATCACTGATAAGAAAACGACTAAAATTGAGTTGCTCCATATTTCGAGAGTAAAGTGCATGATTAATAAAACGTGAAGGAAATGGAGAACGTAAACACCAAGTAAGAGCATGAGCTGCAATATATGAATGTTCTAAATCTTCTATTAGTGTAATTATTTTATTATTGTGTCGATAGTAGTTTTGAACGACTTCGATAAATTCGTGTTTACCGATTTTCGATTTTCGCGTCATTATCTAAAAGATTAAATTGAAGTTTTGAAAATAACTTGTTTTTTTTATTCATTCTCCATTCTCACCTCATCTCTCCACAATTGCAACCAGAGAAACGTATTGTCTTCCTCGAATAAAAATTCTTCAAATCTGATTTGTTGAAATGTTTCGAGAGTTTCTTTAAGTGCGCGAAACAGCTCTTCTTGTTCTTTATAAATACCGACGAGTTTGACGAAATCTACTTTAACTGATTGTTCATCTAATTTCAATATGAAGATGGCTTCAACAGATACCATAGCATTTGCTCTAGCAATTATATCTTTATTAGTTGATGTACAGATAAAAAAAATTCTATCATTTGATGACTCTATCGAAGTAAAACATGGCAATGGATCAGTGTACCATTGAACATAGTTGTTAATCACTCGGAGTGCATTAATGATATTTCCCATGGATTGTGATTGAGGATCGAGCCAAATAAAAGTGACACTTTCATGATTTTGTTGCGCATCGAGATACTTAATGTGATGCTTTTGAGGCACAATTGTTTCACTTGTTGATGATGAGAGCGAAGCGGAAGCCACAGGTAGCGGAGATGTCCCATTTTTATTAGAACTAATTGATTTCTCTGAATTATTCTGAGAAGTTGTGGGCATATGTTTTTTACTCATTTCTATTTTATTGATACTAAAAGTAGACATTCATTAGAGAATAGTACTTTTACTATTGAAGAATATATGACATTGTTCAGAGTTGGACAAGTCAAGTTAAGTAGAGTTCGATTTGGGAGAGTATACCTGTAACAAGTTTTTAAAATCATTGTCCCTCTCATGTGAAGCTTTTTTTTTAACTGATTATTTCTAGACTGAATAGTCTAGGGCCTTGAAAGTTTAATTAAAACCAAAAATATTTGTCCATGTCTATCTGAAACATTTTTTAAAGTACTATCTACCTGATTCTCGATGATTGTTTTCATTTTTCGATTAATAAGGCTCCTTTTCTTCAGCTTTTTTGGGGGGGGGGGTGGCTTCCAATCCCCTATATACTGAATTATTCAATATAGGACTAGTTGAGTCTGCCATCAATCAACGTGATGTACTCAGCTTCATAAGAACCATTATTACTGAAAAATTTTCATTACGCAAGATCATGCAAGTGTTTTGCTTGTCAATATGAGTCTATAATTGTCTAGTTTATTATCAAGAAAAACAAAATATTCTTTTTCAGTCTGTGCACTATCTACTGTTTCGATCATGAGCGGATGAGAACATAGCTAGTCATGATCGAATCTTGATGATATCAACTGGTTGAGCGTGTCGCCATCGCTCATTTAAACTATCAATCGCGTTGTCACAATGAGAATGTCTTTTACTATACAGAAAAAATATTTAAAAAGATGCAAAACACAAGTAGCTCGAGCATAAAAAACAGGTTTCAATCGGAATATAGTTGTGTTTGCGGTGGTCACTCATCTTTTTTAATCCCGCTAAAACTTACATGAAGCCGAATATCAGTTAAAGTACATCTGATAATCAAAAACAGCTGCGGAGGTCGTTCTCCTGATCTATGGTTTTTTATTTAGCATGTGCTAAAAAAATAATCTAGAGAGATGAAAAAGATTTTGTGATAGAAGTTGGGCATCAGCATGGTTTTTTTTGCTTAACAGAGGAGCTCCTGTGTTCTTAATTTACCCCTGTTATCTTAGAAAAAACCTGAGAAAACCGTTACAAATAAAAAACAACACAAAATAATACTTGTTCAAACATTCACCTGTGCGCAAATATGTGTTGCAGTCGACAGCATAGTAGAAAGAGCATCTACTGTTTCTTTCAGCAAGATTGAATTCTCTGCTCCTTTTCGTTCGAAAAATTAATCCCATTTGTTCAACAATGCAGAAAAAACTTGTCCGGAATTTGATTGTCTTATTGTTGATCGATCCATTCGTGATAAGGACACACAACTAAATAGCACTGTTTTTTTGTTTGAACAACACAATATATCGATGACTACTTCACACAGAAAGAGGCGTTTCGATGAATCACTTCTTTTTGTGTATCATCGTTTAAGCTAATTCAATTATAGATACTAATAATAATAGTAGGGAAGAATCGGTTGAATAGCTTCATCAAATCGTCAACATCATACAAACATTCACCTATGAGAATGGTTCTATTAATGACATATCCAATTAATATGAAGAGCGTATTTATTAATTGTTTCAGAAGACATGATTCACCAAACTGTTCTACTCACACATAACATACATACATAAAATTGGTTCAATCTATTTATTGTATTAGAATCAACACCTAAAAATGCGTTTTGATCGTTCGTATTTGATAAATTCAATGTCTTCCTTTTTCTAAATAGTCAAATAACACTTGAAAATAACCTCAAATTCTGATCAAATCGCTACGAATTTAGTTTTTCGAATAGATCTCAACAAACAATTATTCATAGCGGTATAAAATCATAAGACATATGTGAAACATTCAAATTGAAATGAGGAATGAATGTACTTTGTCAAATTCATACTGTTTACTGAGACGAACAGCACAGTATAGGCCAGTTTTGCAGAATGAATCCATTGGTTTGCGTATGCTTATATGTCTGATCAGACTCTGATACAGGTTTACATGTTTTTTCAAATATTGCTTCATTAGGGTACTAATGGAAGCTTTGACTAACTATTTACATACGAGTCACGAATTAGCCATTATGCGAGGTTCAAATTTGTTATTCGTAGTAGTCGTATAAATAATATGATGATGTGAGTCATCATATCGTTGTATGTGCAAGGAAATAGGGATGAAAAAAAAGAGGATTCACATGAGATGTGAGAAAACGTGATCATCATTAACTAAAAACTTCAAAACAACGAATATCAGTGAAACCAACAAACATATAGACATTTATACAATTTCTACGTCGATTTGTATGTGAATCATAACTGTGTTATCCTGAAGCAAGCATTGGCTCGGAGCAAACTCCAGAAAAGTTGAATACTCTTTCGGTCAGATGTGTTAGAGGTGAACAATATCTTGATTCAAGAATGAAGGATGTTGTAGAAAAGAACTATTTCCTTCTCTCAATCATAAAAAAGATATTCAAGAAGAATGTAAGCACTCTTTAGAAAGCCTTGCTCAACGTTAATGATGATGATGAGTTTTAACCTGGATTCTAATATTGAAAAAAAAAACGATTAAAAATTCGATCTAGCGAGCAAAAATTATATTTTGAAGATATAATTACTGTGCATAGAGATGGTACTTTAACTTTACTTTAAAATTAAAGTAGAGATTTTTTCATAAAAAAGAGTTTCTTTAGGAAAAAAGTAATTCTGCGTATAAAGTTTGACCAAAGGTTTTCGAGTTGAGAAATCCGAACGTGTAATTAGTTTTTTCAAAACCATGTACTTCATTTCTCGGTCAAGTTACCTATACTCAAGGAGACGTTTGATCAAACTTTATAAACAAGTAACGCTTGTTGCTACGACTTACTTGACCCTTGTCGTTTCTCATTTTTCTGAACACAATATTGTTATGAAGAAAATTGCAGAAACACTCTTGTTCCTCCTGTCTAGTAAGTTCGATCGAGCTGAAACTTTTCACATACACTAGATACTGTTTGGGATGAGTATTACTATTAGTTTCAAAAAATATTTCTCTTCTGATTTCTGAAAGTGCTTAGAAAAAAGCTCTATTGATAAAAATGTACGTCTTTAGAGTGTCGTCGATATTTTCATTTTTATTATTCGAAGAACAATAATAAAAAGAAACCAAAAGAAAAATTCCAAATTCAAACAGTGTCTAGCATGTAAAAAGAATTTTCCTCTCGATCGAACGTAGCATTTCAAAGAAACGGATGTGAAAATTGGAGTCATTCTTCGCAATTATGATTTTACTATCTCATGAAAGGCAGCATCTAGAAACTTTAAGTTCATGACAACTTCTGCTCTTCTCATTAGGATTCCTTTGTCCTTATAATTTCAAATTCTTATGATGAGCCGTTCTTGAGAAACTCCAGAAAGCCCGGAGAGATATTCTTAGGAGACAGCTTACAGTTGATCGTCAGTGTTCCTACAAGTTGCCATTCCCAATTGCTCGATTTCGTGATTAATCCTGATATTATTTATTTTAATGCTTCTTTTCTCATTCCGAACACTTTGAATAGTACGAAGAACCTATCGAAATACACTTCTTATATCAATGTTGACTGTCAACTATTTGTAGTGAATAAAATTAGAAGATTATTAAATATAAACCAGTCGAATGGCGATTTTAGATGGTATCGTAGGAATGAAACATAAAGGTAGGCGATACAAATTCTCACCATCTCAATCAGCCAGCTTTTAGTCATTGCACAAGAGAATGCCGTTGACATAAAACTTTAATAGAAAAAGATAATTACCGATTATACAAACGACGAATTGCGAACCGGTAGCTAAGATGCATCAATTTACTTGAGTCTTACACAATGTCTCACGACCTAGGCAGACAAAATCAATAAAGAAACGCATCGCAATGGGTTCAAAATGAAGACGTTCCAAAACGTAAAAGTCGCATATTCTAATGCGTTACGAACGCATTATTAGTTTCAAACCAGGTTTTTATCATTTACAATTCTAACCCGTTTTATGATTTTTTTTTTCTTTTAATATGTTTTTACATATTTTTACACGTTGGATTATGGAATTAAGCATATGATATAAGGAAAAGTGACAATTTAATTCATCATGAATACTTGAAAACTAGATAAGACTACTTTAGGGTATCCATATTCGCATTCCTATATCTTGAGGTCTATGCTCTTATTTTTAAAACCTTCGATTTATATCTATATATCGATGCCCTTATTCCTATGCTCTTATATCGAAACCCCTATATCTATGACCTTTCATGTCTATCTCCTTATATATATACCCTTACCTCACTACTCTGAAAAAAAATGGCGCCGTACCGAACCATTTTGTTTCAAAAACCGAAACCTTTTTTTAAGTCCACGAAACCCTCCTTGGTTTCTTGTCTGTACTGTTATAAATATGTCCTTACTCCTACTATGGGATATGGGCATGGGTGGATTCTCTTCACCGATACCAACACCCTTGTTACCGATGCATTTTCTTGAAAATATCAGACTGCTGACATCGTATATTTTATTCTGCTTTTACTTCTAAAACTTTCATTGCTGCGCACACGAACAATAATGATCCATCTTGTAGTTTTTGTTATCAACTTTACTATCCCTCTTCTAGATAAATAAATAAATTCTATGAGCATGTTGTTTTTATTCCCAGCTATTTCATTCTATCTAAACTTCATAATGAATACATTTTCAAATAGGGGTGTTAGTTCATATTTCTTGTTTTATTTTAATAGTAGAACATGAGTATCAAATAACATTTATATTTACTAAATAAAGGCTAAAATAATCCTTATGATTAAAAAGTTGA